ATGGGAGACAGTTCTCCACAAACTTTTCCAATGCTAGTCCATCTCACAAGCACCAGTTCTCCATGAACTGCTGCAACATGGGTCATTTTTCCACAGGGTGCAGTCCTTCAGGAACAGACTGCTCCAGTGTGGATCCCCCATGGGGTCACAAGTCCTACCAGGAAACCTGCTTGAGAGTGGGCTCCTCTCTCTGTGGGTCTGCAGGTCCCTGCCAGGGACCTGCTCCATCATGAGTTTCCTATGGGATCACAGCCCTCTCTAGCATCCACCTGCTCCTGCTGGGATCCTCCATGGGATGTAGATGAAGCTCCGTGCCCCTGTGGTCCTCCATGAGCTTCAGGGGAATCTCTACTCCAGTGCCTGGAGCACCTCCCGCACCTCCTTCACTGACCTTGGTGTCTGCAGGGTTATTGCTCTCACATGTTCTTACTCTGCTCTTCTCTGGACACAGTTACTTAGGCCACTAACTTTTGGTTTTTTCTTAAATATGTCATCACAGAGCTTGATCACCCTCACTGATGGGCCCAGCCTTGACCAGCAGCATGTCCATCTTTGAGCCAGATGGCCCCAGCTTTGTCAGACAAGGGGCAGCTTCTGGCTTCTTCTCACAGAAGCCACCCCGGTAACGTCCCTGGTACCAAAATCGGCTGTGCAGACCCAGCACACTGAATTACCCTGTTCTCGTTGGTAAGTGTGAGCTATAGGTTATTTCTATATCTAGCAGGAAATTGAACCTCACATAAAATATATGACAATATACTGGTGTGCTATATAAGTGCATACATATACAATTATATGTATTATATAAAATTCAAGTACGAATATAATTGCTTGAAATATAATAATTACATTTAGAAGAGGTGCATTATGGCTGTGGTAAACCTTTATCCATCTTTTTCTTTTTTTCCAAATATGCAGCTGCCAACATACCTAATTAAAAGTAAAGTTTTCATGAAATTGATGAAGAGTTAATGTTTTTGGAGTATTTTTAGGAGTTATTTGAGCCAATTAATGGACTGATATTCAGCATGTGTTTATGTCCACTTATCCTTTGTGCTATTTTAAGCTTGAGAGCAATAATAAAAGAAATATAATGCCAGAGTGAAACATAAGATTAAGACTATCTTTAGAATTTATTAATGTGACAAAAAGCTCAAATTAAAAATGCTGGACAGTTTTAGAGGGAAATTCTGCATGATATTCAAGTCAATTTTAGGCAAGTACATTAATTTCTCCAATAAAAATATTCTATGACATGCTCTGTGCCCAGTGCAGAAACCCTGCCAATCCACTAAGTGGTAATTTGGGGTCAGACCAGGGAATTATATGTTCTGATACCTATTTTAAGGACTGATTATGCATCCTATATGGGATAAAATATATAATACTCCTCATGAAAAAAGCTAGAATCCAGGTCTTACCATTTGTTTTCCTCAGATGCTTGTGCTCTCAGCCCATTAAATATCAACTTATTTTTGCAAAGCAGAATTGCTGAAGCAGATGGCAGTCATATTGCAAACCAGCCAGGTATATTCTCCATGTCGGTAGAAAATAAAAATTTTTATCTTCCCCAGGCTGATGAACCATGAAACCCATGAAGTATGAAGCCCTCCCTAAAGAATAAAAAATAATCCCAAATGGATGGGTTAGCCAGTGATCCACTGAATACAAGGGAGAATCTCCTCACTCTCCCTTGCCAAAGCAGAGTAGCTACGATGTCTTTTTTGAAAGATAAAACTTAGAAATCTTAGTGCAAGAAAAGAGTGTGAATACCAATCTCTTGTTGACACCTGCTTTTCTGTACAGCAGAGTTAGTTTTTGCATTCATGCCATGGTGAACATAATGAACCCTCTTCTGAAATTCCATAAACCCATTAGATTCAGCAGCTATTTCCATCTAAACATTAAGGCTGCATAAAAATGTCACCACATAGATTCACTTTATTTATTACTTATTATCTACTTCATTTATATAGCAGAGCCTGAATCTCTCTTTTACTTTACAAACATAAGCAGTTTTTTTCCTAGAACATTCTTCCTGGCCTCCAGAAAACTTTGCCAGAGGGCTGCAGTCAGCCCAACTCTGCTGCCCAGAGCCCAAGTCTCTGGCATTTCTGTTGGTACCTCTTTTCCAAGCATATATAGTGCCTTAAACTGCACCACATATTTTTAAAGGACCTAATTAGTTTTCTTTATTCCTTCTTAATATAATTTGTTTTAATGACCTGGTAGTACCTAGTAAAATCCCATACAGGAGCTGCTAGGACAAAGTGTTAATTAAGGATGTGTAGAATATCACAAAGTTCTTATAAGACCCATATTGGTCTTTCCTTCTCTTGGTGAGAGATGCGAAGGAGAATTTCAAAATGAGGATGTGGGATTTTTCTTGTCTTATTTAATGAAAAGAACAGAAAATACTTTGCTAGCTAGAGAAAAAAAAAAAATCCTCATTAAGTCCATTAGTCAAGATTAAAGCTGGAGGCGACACATAAAACACCTGAACCACTTCTCTGCCAAGATGTTTTTATCAAGCTATCTATTGTCTGTACAGCTTAATACCCTCAGCTCTGTGCACACACCTCCTCCTAGTGATTAATTTTTAAGAGGGCACTCACTCTTTGGTTGCTAAGGGTTATGATGTAGTTTTTTTTTAAGAAACAATACACTAAACATTTCAAGTAGGGTAAAGTATTTGTTGCTGCGCTAAAACTCAGACAAGAGAGAACATTTCACCACTGTTACCTTCAGACAGTTCTTTTCTCAGGCTAAAGCATTAGTTTCTCTACAGAGGGATTCCTGGAAGAGCCCAGCCCTGGAGGGTGCAGAGGTTCACTCTGCTCCAGCAGGAGGCACACAGCCCTGTAGTTGAGCTCAGGCTCTGTTGTAAGTGCCCTTCTGGCGCCAGCCCCAGCAGTGCTGCTCCAGCAGCACTCCTTGGGATCTGTCCTCAAGGAAAACCCATTAGGTTTGCCATTCCCTATTCCATGTTTTCCCTGGGAAGTGAATTCACGATTCCTAGGGAGTCAGTAAAAAGGGCAAAGCCACAGACCTTCTTGTTCTGTATTCACAGGCCAACACCAAGCTCAAGGAAGCAGGAACCTCCCACAGCCACCCAACAGAATGGGAAAACTGTTTTGAAAAACCCAGTGAAGCAATATTTTATTTAATCTATGCATCCATTTATGCATGTGTGTATGTGCAAAACCACTGAATATTCTGAGTTGAGAGGGACCTACAAGGATCATCAAGTCCAACTCTGAAGCCAATGACCCATATGGGGATTGAATACACAAGGCTGGTGTTATTAGCACCTTGATCTCACCAACTGAGCTATCTATGTGTAAATAGATAGTTACACAACCCTATATTAACTCTAAATGTGCAACAATAATTTAAATTTTTACATCAACTTTTTTTTTTTTTTTTTTTTGTACTTGGAAGAGCAGCTAATCTATGGCTCCTCATCGACCAATGAGAAGTAATTTGTTATCTGTTGTGGGGAGGGAAAGATAAACACCTATAACAGATTTATAATAGGTTTTTTTTTTGCAATGACACCAATTATGACTAAGCTATAAGCTGAGGTGGCACAACAAGTTGTTCCAGTACACAGGTACAGTGCTCCAGAGATCTCTGCTTTGTCTGCTCCATTGCGACATACTAAAATGAAAAGTAACCTGCCCCTCACATGGATCTCTTGGCAAGCAGGATGATGAATTATTGTTGCAGCCCTGTAGTGCTTGAATTCTAGTTATTGTCTGTACACACTTATCTGGTACATGCACATTTAACTTGTGATTTTTATGCCTTTTATTTGTTGTAGGAGAGCATGAAGTGAAAAAGATTCTGTTTCCCCATTTGCAGTGAGAAAAAAGTGTATCTAACCTACACCATCATGATAAAGCACACCCTTCAAATCTCTTTCTTCCTATTTTAAAAAACAAAAATCTTCAAAATAAGCCAGGCCTTTTTCAGAATCACTTTCAGGTCTTACATTCTTGGCAACATCAGCTCTCTGTCTTGTAGATATTGGAGGGCAGTGAGAAACTTGGTTTTGACTTTCGATTCAGTAGTCTGAATTTTATTGTATTGCTGTCTCTTGTACTATGTAAAGTTTCATGTATAAATTTATATTAGGTTCTAGTTAAAATCCAGTAATAAGTAATGTATTTATACTGATTGCTTTAAATATCTCAAAGCATTCAGAATTTATAGTAATATTTATATAAATTCTGTTGTGTTCAAAATGAATATGTCAGCTTTGTCCATCCATAGTGAATGGTCATGAATTTCTTTTCAGGAATACAGTTTTTATTTGGAACATGGCAAGAAATCTTTGAAGTCTCCAGCCCATGGCTACTTGGAAAGAAATTGCATAGTTCCTGGGAGGTAGGATGGGACCATGAATAGATGCTTTATTCTTGTGCTGCAATAGTTCTATTTATGACATGCAGTTGGGAGAGCATGGAGTAAGAAGACGTGGTGGTAGAGACAGGAAGGTGTCTATGGCTTATTGTTGTGGTAGAGAAATATCTAAGCATAACAGAAAATTTGTAAAGCTTCTCCTCAGTTACCAAGATAACTGGATGTCTAGCTTTCCTCCCATACATTATATTTTACAACTTAGTCACAGCGTAACTGCTTAGAGACATCTTGCTAACAAAGATATTAACTGCAATAAATATTTCTTGAATTCACCTCTTTCAAGAGCTAGGTTTTAGTCTATCATGTCAACTTTGGTTACTCCAAAGTACTTGGGGCGCTCCAAATTGCAAAGGAAGTGATGACAGGCAAACATTGACTCACCGAGTTCCCCCATAGCAGACTGAATATTGGTCCCATCTCACTCCTGGTCTGCCACTGAGAGCCAGGGCTGCCAGATATATAAATGCTTGTCTATACATGAGCCACAAATATTTATCTATTCAGAGCTGGGCACAAATTTATACTGACTTCATGTAATAATGAAAAGAGAAGAAGAAAAAGTAGACATTACTCACACAGCAATATTCATACATTTTTGGCTTCTTCAGGGTTGGTGCAGTCTCCCCTTAGGCACCGTGGGTAGGGCTGGGACAAAAACGTGAGGGTCCTTGAATGCATCCAGAGGAGGGTAACAAAGCACGTGAAAGGTGTGGAAGGAATGTAAGGAGCAGCTGAGGGCTCTGGGCTTGTCCAGTCTGGAGAAATGGAGGCTGAGGGACGATCTCATTGCTCTCTAAAACTTCCCGAGGACAGCAGGTGCAGAGGGAGGAGCTGAGCTCCTCTCCCTGGCATCCAGGGACTGGACATATGGGACTGGTTGTAAACCATACCAGGGAAGGTTTAGACTGGACATTAGGCAGCTTTTCTTTACTGAGAGGGCACCAGAAGGCTTGCTAGAGAGGTGGACAATGCCACAAGCCTGTCAATATTCAGGAGGAATTTGGATCATACCCTCAAGGACACACTTTAACTTTTGGTCATTCCTGAAGTGCCCAGGCAGTTGGACTGGATGATTGTTTTAGGTCCTTTACAACCAAAATAGTCTATTCTATTTGGGGTTTTTTTCCTGAAGAGAAATGTAATGAATACAAGGAATCACAGTATGGACATTGGAAAAGATCTTTCAGTGACAAACGATAAATATAATTCCGAATGAGAAAAATGAATGATTTGTTTGTATACAGAGTTGAGTCTAAATCAATTAGATAGACCAAGAATAACTTTTATTTTGAGACAAGATACAGTAGGAATGCTAAACAGAGTAATTGCCCATATTCCTGTAAGGCAGAATTTATGAGTGTTGCTCCTTATGGCTATTGAGTGAAAATGGATATGGAGGGTCAGATTGATCTCCTGTAACTTTATTTCCCTGAATTTAGATCTCTGCTCTGTTAGTCATTTGCACTACTTCTGTTTTCAGATTGTTAGAGAAGAAATAATGCAGGGCATCTGAATGCAACTCCCATGGCCTGACGTGTATATGACCCTGAGTAAGCTCAGGGATATAGACAGAATTCTTCCACAGATAATGCCTCCTTTTAGACTATATGAGAGCAGGTGAAAATAATCTACTTAATCTTAAATTTCATTTAAAATGAAGCTGAATTCCATTCTGACATACTGTCAAGAAAAACTTTGTATGTTTCAAGAATGTCTTATTCTTCAGATCTCTTTCAGAGAGTTGTCAAGACATGTAGAGATGTCAGAGAATTTAGTGATGTAATGACATCTTTCAAGGGACAAAAAAATGTACATTTTTAGTTTGGGTTCATGAGCTAATTGGTACAAAGTCTTGCTATCCTGAGGAAAAAAAAAATCTAAACCAAAACAAAGGCTATGGACCAGTTCCACCTACATTACCTTACCATGGATAAAAGCAGGAGTTATTTTGGCTTCTCAGAATTTGATGAGATCTGGAAATAGTCCCTACATGACCAGAATTTGTGTAAATTAAAATACTTGAGAATTGAGAGTTTTAGATGCTTTTCAATCTATATTTCTCAACTACGCTGATATATACACACACATTTCTTTTGTTAAGGCAGCTGCACACTTCATGGTGTTAAATTTATAGATTTTGCAGATATTATTGCCGCTGGAATGAGAATTAGGCTTTTTCCCCATTCTCACATAAAAATTTCATTTATGGTGCAAATGAGTGGAATTTAAGTTGCTAAAAATGATCTAAATAACTGATATCTCTGATCCAAATCTAGCTTATTAAGTATAAGGCTAACACAGTTATAGTACTAATGCAGACATTTAGCAATGAGAAGTAATATTCTTGATTCCAAGGTGCCTGTTGGAACTCCATGTGGGCTTTAAATGAAACACTGAAATCACGTAGTAATGCCATGGAAAATTTACCAGTGTTCCCTCTTGTAGTATCCTTGTGGGTTTCAGTGAGACTGCTCACTCAGTCACCTAAATTCAATCATGAATGGAGGGACTTAATTATCCATTTGATTAAGATTTTCACATCATAAGCCTGGGGGACTGTCAATTTGCTTATCAAGAAAAGTAATCATAACTAAGAAATTACACTATTTTAATAAGTAAATTAATAATTTGGAAGTTGTGGTTCAGCTTTGGAAATGAACTGAATTAATTAATTTCTTCATCATCACTAGTTGATGATAATTCATGCCAATTCTTTGCATTTGAAAAAGGAACGTATATGGTTTCAGGTTCTAGAAAGTTTGATTCAGCAAAATACATGATTTACAGTCAGAAATTGTCATGGCAAACATAACTAAGTTATATTTGTTTCATTGCCACTGGCTATGACTTTCAATTTCAGTTTAAATTCTCTCCCTATAGAGAGCACTATATGTCTGGTACTGAAAAAAAAAATCCATATTAAAAAACTAATGACCCTTAAGGTTCATATAGCCAAGAAAAACTAACAACATTGATAAAAACCTAAAAATGATGATAAAAAACTAACATTAACAAAAACAAAAATAAATAGTATTGGAGAAAATATTTGTTTTTTATGTCAAAGACTGCCCTGAATATGGTCTGGGAATTTTCCCAGGTACAGTTCATTTTCATTTGCTTCTGTTCTTTGTTACAGTAAACATGTTAAAATACACGGATCTCTGACATTATCAGGATGAATTATAACAGGAAGAGTGTCAGTCTTCTTGAACAGCTGGACATCCATAGTCTTGCTCTGTAAGGGGCAGGAATTAGGAGGAAAGAGGTCCATCATCTTCTCTAACTAACATCCAGTGAGAAAATAATTGTTCATCACATTAAAATCAGAGGGGATGAGAGAGGACAGAGCTTTTAAAGTTATTTAATTATCACAATGTCTTAAAGGATAATTTCATATGCATGTTTATTTTTGTAGGCCAATTTAGGCAATTAGCCATGGTTTTTAAAATATCAGAATATCAGCATAACATTTAATACACAGTAATCAGTCATTAAAATGCAACAGAAGCAAGTAGACCTGGACAGATGAGATCTTCCAATGCCATATCCAAGAGAAGACTAAAACTCCAGACTTTTTAAATTGCCTTGACACTGTGTAATTCAGTGTTGACATAACTTTGAGAATGTAGCTACTGCTCTGTAAATGTTTAGTCTATTGCATAACAAACATCTTTGCACACACAGAGCTTCAATTTAAAGATTCTCAAAACAAGCAACTGTTATTTATAGCAGAATTTAAGCTGGCTCTAAATTCAGCTCAGTACCAGAACGTCCCATAGATCCCTGCACCACTGAAGCCAAATTTGTCCTTTCCTCTAAAGTAGTCCTTAAAGTTGAAAATATTTGCAATAGAGGGGAATTTTTTGTTTGCATTTTTTTTTGATTGGAAAATCTTGCATGCTCCAGAAAACCAGACAGGAAAAAAAATCTAGGAATATTGGAAGAACTGGATCAGCGCTATGCCACCAGCTCTAAACTGAAAACAGTTATACATTCAAATTTAATTTTTCTAAAACAGAGCATTTTGGCTTTAAGTTTTTAAATTTCTTTTTTTTTTTTTTAGATTTATTAGGTGTTATTCAGAGAAAAGAGGTGATTAAAAAATTCCTCTCAGCCCCCACCTCCCCCACCCATAACTTGATTCAATGATTAAGGTAGATAATTTCCTAATTTCAAATTATTTAGTAAAAGCCACAAATCCTTTAAAAAAACCTTTCTGATATAATTTCCTCTACTCCAGCAAATAAAATAAATCTAGCAGTTCATCTGTCCTATTTCATAAATATGTTAATAAGGACTACAGCTAAGCTGGATCTCAATGATGGAATTGCAGCATGATGCTGAATATCTGTGCTGGTTTTTGCTGGGATAGTGCAGGAATTTGTATGGGCTTATGTTTGGGATCTGTGGTGAAAACAGTGATGATTTCACAGGAATATTTTATTTATTCATTTCTGGACAGTGCTTAAACAGCATCAATATATTTTCTGCTCCTCAAACTGATCAAGGAGGTTGGGGGTGTGCAAAAAGCTGGGAGGAAAAGAATCTTAATTAATTTTGAGTAAACATGATCATAAAGATAGATACAAAATCTAAATTTATTGTTTCATGGATATGTAGCTTAGAATAATTACTCCTCAAGGTTATTTTTTATAGGTTCAGCTAAAGGAACTGTACTGAAAGAGATAAGGTAACAGAATATACCTACTTAAAATTGACTAATTTTTAAGAAAATAAAGATCACTCTAAGTATGGCTATGAACACCAGCTGCAGCTATTTAAATTTTTTTGTCAAAATTCATGAAGAAATTTGAGTCTAAAGACTCAGGTTGGAGACTATTATTTCCTGCTATTCTGTACTGTGAATACTCCATGCAGGCTACCTCTTTATTGAGGTCTGAGTGCTACCTGGAGATGAAAAGGAAACATTTTACTTATATACATTTAGATAAGAAGGGAAATAAATTCAAACTTTCCTCAGTGGAAAAAATGGAAATACAGGGAATCTGTCTTGCCTCCTGACTATCAAAAATACTGGAAAAAAGTCCTAGGAAACCAATATGAATGCTAAATATAACCTTCATTAATTATCCAGTAGTTCTCTTTTCCAGTAATAAGTTATACAGCATTATCCCAGAGTTAGCAAAATAGCATTTTCCATACTCCATTGTGGGGAAATTTTCAGGTAAAAGCAGTTTACCTTATTTGCAGTTCCTGTGTTTTGTAACTTTCCAAGTGAATGTCAGTGATCTGCCAATCAAATCTTTGCTGAAACACTTGGAAAAGCAAAAGCTCTAATGGCAATGTCCTTCACCACTTCATAGGGAAATGTCAGCTTAGCAGACAAGAGATCTTGTAGTCATTATTCCACATGTCATTCAAGAAAAAAAAAAAGAAAAAGAATGGATAAAGTAAAGTATTTCAATGCCATTGCCTGTATTTATGTTTGTTGGCTTTGACTTTCTGTCATACTTCAAGGTTTTATGGCATACTTGTCCTCCATGCAGTGCTTTATCTATGAGGTGAAGAATAGTATTCCATTATTGCAGCAAGAGGAGGGAAAGGACAGGGAACTGATCTGCTTAAGGCTATTTCTCACATCACAAGAAGTGAGGAGAAGTGTCCCAATTTTTTCCCAAACACTGACCTTTAACCAGTCTTTCCCTCTGTAAAACATGACTCACTGTGTTGTTCTACTCCATCACTCAATTGATCCTTCTGAAGTCAATTGTGAGACTCCTATTGCATGCAGGAGAAAGATAAACCACAAAAACCCCCAAACAAATAACCTACCAAAACCAACCAAACAATAAGTCAAACAACAAAAACTCTAGGAAACCCCCAGATTCTTCATATCTTTCTTAAGTTGCTACCTGGCTTCATCTTTGAATTTTCTTAGCTTTTCCTTTTTTTGAAGTTCATGAGACTTTTAAAAATAAACAATTTTTTTTCTTCACAACAGTATACTGAATAAAATTGCTAACTATAGCTTAATTTTACACTGAAGAATTCCTGTAGAATTCTGATTATTTGCATATGATCTAACAAGAAAACAGATAACTGAAGTACAACTCACCAGTCCTAACCACTGAAACATAATTTTTAATAAATTTCACTTCAGTTAGCTGAGCTATTTTTTAATACAAATTTAGAACTTTCATGATGACTACTGGATTTTAAAATTATTATTATTTATTTACTGTTTAAATGTCTGGAAGACATCCAGAAACAGTCAGAAATCTTGGGACCACAGGTTGAAACTACTAACTTCACTTCATGACATTCTTGACTCATGACCTTCCCCAAAATAAAAACATTTTTTCAAGTCTTTTCTGTGATGCAGACTGCCTTAGATGGCACTGAAAATATACAAAAATGGTAGATTGTATTGACACTGGTAAATAAAAATACTCTTCTTGGTAACGCTCAATGTTATGTCAAAGGCTCATTATTCCTAACTGCAGTTAGGAAGGTTCAGATTTGATATCAGAAGAAGATTTTCTGCTGAGAGGACTGTGAAGTCCAAGAAAAGTTTTCCCAGAGAGTCTATGGTGTCTTAATTCTTGGAAGATTTTCAAGATTTAACTAAGAAGAGTCAAAGCTGACCTGATCTAGTGCGGAATGGTTCTGCCTCAAATGGAAGGCTGAGTTATATGACCTCTATTTCTACAATTCCATTCCAAATTATTTATTTTATAGCTATTTATGTTTGATTTCTTTATTTCCTTTAAAATGTCTGAATGTCTTTGTTCTATAAAGAAGCAATAATTGGGCACCTGCAGTTCAGAGTCCTACACATGTGCCAAATTAGTGTTCCTCAAAAAGTGAGCAATTGACTCAGTATTCTTAAAAGAATATTGAAGAATTTCCCTAAAAATATGAACCTTAAATACTCAGAAATAACAGAGTTTAATTTGGGAAGCAAATCTACTTACAATCTGCATTATAGTTCTTGCTGATTTCACTGAAGGCATGCAGGTCACTGAATTTGCTCTCTGAGCACACTGTGGAAGTATATTTAGTAATTAGCTGAAAATGGAGCTGCGCTGTCTGATGAATCACTGATGGACTGTGGGACACATAACAAAAGCTTTCCAGTGCAGCAGGGTTTGCAGAAATGAGGGACCTACCTATGTGTGCAGCACTCAACCAGCCAGCCAGGGTTAGACTGAAGCTTTGCTAGTCCCAAAGGCATAAAAAAAGTCATCCATTTCTTTTAAGAGGTAACT